CAAATCCATTCGTTAACAAAAACTAATCCTTTCTATCAGTGTGGGACATCATTTATTGTTCCAATGGTCAGTTACTTTGTCTGCCTGAAATGATTCTCAAACTGAATTTATCAGCTGCAAAAAAAAATTTCTTGAATGAAGGATGTATATTTCTGGTTAATGTCAGGTTTTATCGTGGTGCGAATCATTATTTGAGAGAAGAGACATTCATACTTGAACGGAACACTCAGGCACCGGGACATTCACCTCAATACTCTCTTTCGCGTTTCAGGGTCACTAATCAGTCACAGTTTTTTTCACAGTACTAGATCCTCCCAGAATATGCTCGCATTCAGAAGAAACAAAAGTTTGATTTTCATAATCATAAACACGTGAGTGATTCCGGAATAATGATAATGCTCAAACGTCGCGTGATCACAATGAATTCATCGAGTGAATAAATTGCATCACTTGTATGCCATCCACGAGACCAATTTAATTCCATAATTGTGTATAAAACAGTGATTTTCCCTGGTATCAATCACGACCGATCACTATTTACCGATGATTAAATTTGCATTCAAATACGTTGATTTTTTACTGTCAGTCAAACACTGTTTACAAAGTCAAATGACTGTCCCGTAAATCATTATCTCGAAATTAATGTTATTTCTTCGCAAAAAAAAAATTGAGTTAAGGAGTGGAAAAACGAGATAACGTAATGGTGCAATTGTCTCATTAAAGAATGATTGTACGAGAAAATGTGGGAAGATCTTTTTTGTAGCTGAAAAATGTTCCTACGAAAAAAATTTTGTGATATTTTCTCTTAAAGTCGCTCATTTCTGATTGTGAGGCAATGTTGTTCAAAATCTAATCAGCTCTAAATTACGTGAAAACGTATCGATTGCATGAAAAAAAATTTAATCGGACCATTCGTTCAAGCGAAATCGTTGGGCAAACTTTTTCTCACATAAATCCTTCTAAAAAATTCATAGAAAGTTTCTAGAGGTCATTAGATTTCCAGTCTCAATTTTATAATTAAAAATTATCGGGTAATTACAATAATTACCCGATATAAACCGGCAAATTGATGGACTGTTGAATTGTAAAAATATAAAAAAAGCCATTCGATTCCAAATTTCGTAGACGTTTAATCTGATGGAGAATTATTTCAATAGGTGATAGCGCTTGATTTGGATAATGACCCAACTAATGACTTTTTTAACCTTTTTTTTAAAACCTTCAAGAATGGAACCACCAAAGTTCTATTTTTCCATATATGAAATTCGGCCAAAAATGCTGTATTACACATATATGTAAGATATATGTGACATATATGCGTCTATACATTTATTTATATGTTCCGCATATAATTTTCCGTGAGGGGCAAAAAATTTAAATTTTGTTATTGAACTGTTAACAACGTGAGAAGTCTGAGAGCCGTCAATTGTTCTCCTCCATCGTCTGCGCTCAAAGACAATGTGCTTGAGCGAACAACATTTTTTGTCCCCTCGACCCAGAACTTGACCTCAAATTATAGGAATGAATTTGTCTTTGATTATCCTCGGTCAATAATCTTCGAGGCAGGCGGATGGAGGTTGGTAGTTGAAGAATGAAAAACAAAGGAACTGGTATTGTAATTTATTCAAGGAGAAAAAAATACGAACACAGGTCGAATGAAGATTTAGAGACTTTAGGCAAAATTCAAGTTTTTCAACTTTTTTATTCGAAAAGTCGTTATTATGCGCATCTAGAGATCGAAAAAAAACTTTCACTAAAAATATTCTTATAGGCAGTAAAAACTGAAAAATTTGGACGCTCAATAAATCAAAATCGGATGGATAGAACTCGAGTTGTTGAAAAAAACGGAAAAACGAAACAAAAATCATATCTCCTAAGTGGGCTGCCGAAAAAATCGGAAAAAATTTGAGATCTAGTTTTTCAACCTCCCCAATCGTAGAAAAAATCGCCATCAATTTCCAAGAGGGTGAGGGTCAGCGGTTGACTCATTTGACGTGGAATACCTCATATACTATCTTATATGTATATGCATTTTTATATTACAATAAAAAATGAATTTCTCTTTTTGCTTCCGAATGGAAGCTTATTTCCTTATTTTCGGTGGAAATGCTCAGAAACGTCATGAAACGTGAAGAAATTATGTTTTTAAAAAATGTCTGTATGTGTGTGTCCACATTCATGTCCGGTTGTCCAGAACTGTCCCTATAACTCGAGAACGATGAGAGCAAAGACGCTGAAATTCTGGCTGCTAATTGGTACTGCTGATAGTCAAATTTGTGGTAAATTTCAGCTCGATCGGTTAAGCGGTTCCTGAGAAAACCAAAAATCGTTTTTTGTCGGTATCTCCTTTTAACCATGCGACGGATTCCAATTTTTTTTTCAAAATACTCGCCATGATGATACCTATTCAATTGGATCGAAAAAGACCCTTCCACCCCGAGTAATGTAGTTTTATCCTCGTTTTTTCGTTTTTTAACTGAAATTGCTTGTATGCATAACTTAAAAAATAATTGAGATAGAAACTTGAAACTTGGTATGATTTTAGGTCTTATGATAACAAAGTTTGGGATTGTAGATTAACGGAATCGGAGCATTATGTAACGGATAATGGGATACGTTCTTCAGAATTACTATAGTTTTTCGCGGTTTTTTTCATTTCGAAGTGGCCCATCGACTCGCAATGGAACGACCCAATAACAATACAACAGCGCAAAGAAAAAAACATGAGAATCGTGGGTACGGTTGAGCCTCGTGTATAATAGAAGCGATGATATAATTTGTATGCAAGCGAGTGAGGGCGGTTGCGCATTACGAAATCCACACCTTGACCACTTGGTTCCCCAGGTCATCGTATTACATTTGATCCAAACTAATTGATTTCGATTATATCCGCGGGGTTTTGTCAATATTTTTTTATCCCTTTTAGAGGGTCCGCGTTTTCTCAATTTGCTGAATAATTTGCGAATTTATTCCGTATGAGATCCACGTCGAAATCATGCACACGCATTATCTACATAGTTTCCTCATTGATTTTTATGAATGGATGGGTAAAATCTAAGTAAAAAATTTGATCAGTTTTTCTTTCTTGTTGTTATGTTTCTGAATGAAAGTCTTGTGTATGTGACAACGTGGGTTTTTGGTGATAAATTTTTAAAAAATTCATCATAAATCCGGTAAAATTTGTGAATAAAAATCTGAAATTTTGGCTCTTTGTAGCTATGATTGAGCTCAATTTTGGCGCTCTGTTTTAGCGAGCTCGGTCCAGTAGTTCCTGAGATATAACAACTTGTTTAAATTTCGTTTTTCTTCAATATCCCAAAAACTACTGCACCGATTTCAATTTTTCTTTTTTTTAAATACTTGTCTCGATGGCCTCTATCTAGATCAAACAGAATATATGCACCCTTTAATACAAAGTTTAGAGATATTGCCGTTTTCCCGTTGTCTAATGAAAACTCCTTCTACGCAAGATAATTCGAGAAAAAATGGAGACAAGTTGAAATTTGGTATGATCCTAGCCCTTATAATACTAAAGGTTCGTATTTTGGATGGGTGCAATTGGCCAAACGGTTCCTGAGCTGTGCAAATATATTTTGTTAACCTTTCGTTCATCGCGCTAGCTCGGCCGACGTCTGTGGTTACGCGGTCAGCGTCGCGCCGTACGTGATTTGGGCAATGCGGCCTTTCCGCCGGCCGCAGTATCTTTTCGGTCAGGCCCTCGTACGTCAAAACACGCGTTCACGTTCAATTTTTTATGAAGTTTTATGAGTTAAAATTCGTGGAAATTTTTTTTTTCATTTTTATTCGAACACTTATCACATAACCAATAATACATTTCATATTTCATTTTGAATGACCAACTAACTTGACTCTGTAATCAATCATTACCAGTGACTAAAACTTCAAAATAAACTGATATTCATCTATTTTTTTATTTCTACTGTTTATTCGTTTTTGGTTCTTTTACGTGAGTTATTCTACTCAACAGCCATCATCACTGGCAATCTAGAATAGTATATTTCGTCATTAGGCCGAAAAAAACTTTTCTGGTGAATATGAGGTTTGCAGCACGAGCCGAAGGCGAGGGCTGCAATCATATTCGTCAGAAAAGTTTTTTTTGGCCGTATGACGAACAATATTTTTTGTCATGACGGCCGTAGGCAGAGATTCGCGGATGAAACGCTGCCTGCTTACGGCCGGAATGGCAAAAAAAAACTATTATATCGATTTTTTTGTTTTTCTTTTCGTTTTTTTTTCTTTGTATTTATCACAAAAAATCAACGAAAATTAGTTGGTACCTGAACCTCCATAACCAAATAAAAGTGGAGGGGGAAGCCGGAGTTTCCATACCCTGCTACGGACTTACTGCCGGTGTGCCAGATTTGGCAACATCGGCAAGAAAATTCCACTGACGATTGTGGTCACCCTAGTGGAAAAACCTAAGGCAGAGGCGTAACACGCCTGATCAGAATTTCGGATCGGACTTGATCAGTTTCTGATCAAGACCTGAACAGAATTTCCACTCGGGCAGGCAATGAGCGCCGCGCCGCTTTTTAGGCTCGGCTCTCAGAAAATAGTATATTATGTCATCAGGCGATAAAAGTATTATCTGGCGAATGTGGCTTTATAATCCGGCGAGGCCTTCGGCTCGGATTATAATCACAGATAATGTTATTATCGCCGTGTGACATACGATATTTTATGTCGTTGGGCCCGAAAACCGCGATCTAACCGAGCGAAGCGAACAACTTAAATAGAATAACTCGCTTAAAGGAATTGGTAGAAATAAAAAAAAAAGAAAGAGACTAAAAACGCAAAAAGTAACGATCACATGCCTTAATTGGAAATTCTCAATTATGAAATTGCTTGGAATTCCAGTGGAGCAGTTACTTAATAGAAATTTCTAAGAAGTTTACCGAAAGTTTAATTAAGTTTAATTTCAGCCGAAATGTGTCAACAGTCCTATTATAAAAAAAAAGCATGAATAAAGAGGCACTTACCGGCGTAGGTACTCTTGGAACTCTCGTGCAGTTTGAAGGTGAACGGTATGTGGACCTTCATCATCTTCATTTGTGGTATTCTGGGTGAGTGTGACATGACCCCGCCGTTACCTCCAAACATGAGGTCGTCCCCGTGTACTCTGAGGACCATCATATTCCTGCACCAACATATTGTTTCAAAACACATTTAGTCTCCAGTATTTATTTTATATTTCAGTAGTGAAGTTGTTAAAAACGAGGTCAGTCAACTTGACTTGAGAGTCACATTTTCATGAATGTCGTACAGGCCTATTTGTAGAGCCAAAATATAACTTCAGAGTTACCCAGAGTAGCATTTCGTCCCATGACCCAATCGGGTTATGGTTTGAAGGACTGGTGCAGTGTAGGCGTTGACAAAATTTTAGCGACGTTTCACACTGAGAGAAAATAAATCATGTTCTAATAAAATTGTTGTTGGAACCAAAAAAATTGAACATAAGAACAGAAGTTGCAAACATAAACAATTATGCTGTTTTCAAAAATGAAATATTTGCTTTTCGATGCCGAGTTACAGAATTGCTATCATATTATCATTATTCTTCTGTTTGATTGCGAAATCATTTCGTATCAGTAAGCACTAGAAAGCCGAAACGAAAAACTACTCTCTCTTGTTTCGCATAAAATTAATATTTTTTTAGGGTAAAATATGTGCAATAGTGTAGAATAACAAATGAGTAGCGCTTAAAATCAAAATTTTTGCTTATATAAAAAATAATAATTCTCTGAAACAACTAAATGTTTTTTGTGATACGAAATTTTCATCTAAGGAGACTCTCTTAAGGATGTACTACTTGTTTGAAAAAAAAGATGTTTTTTTCATTTTTCTGGCAAATTACTGATCGGATTGACGCGAAATAATAGACCGTTTTTGCGTTCTATCATTATTGACTGACTCACGAAGTTTCGTAGTAGTGCAATCATTTTCCTGCATTTTTTCTAAAGTTTTGTGAATTTCCGAAAAGTTTTAGAAAAAACGCAGGAAGATGATTGCACGATCATGAAATTTCGTGAGCCATTAAGTTATGATAAAACGCAAAAACGGTATATTTTTTCACGTCAACCCGATCAACAATTCTTTTACCAGAAAATTTGAAAAAACGTGAATTCTGGCGAAAAGGGTGTACATCCCTACAAAACATCCTTAAGATTCAGCATGAGATTTTCAATCCTTGGTAGTTGTCAACTCATCCATTTTGTTACTTCAAACAAGACATGTTTTCTTCCTCTCAGTGCAGCGCCCAATTGTGTGAGAGGTATTTGCAATTGAGTTTGCTCATTCGCTCTAGGGTCATTCTCTACAAAAACGATATCCATAAAAATCTCATCAAATGTCTTGACGTTTGTTTAAAAGTACTCTTTAAGAAAACGATACCCCTTCAATTTACCGACAAATTTTCGAAGGGTCATTTGGCGGTCACATAATTGACTGAGACCTTTTACATTTTGTACATTTAATATTGGAGGGATTATCTGTGTCCTGAATAATTTTCATATTTATCTGAGGAGTAAAAAATTACAGATTTAATTACCACCGGAAACTGTAATGAAAAAAGTCAAATTTCTTGTCTATCATTGAACGAATTTCAAAATACAGATATCAGGACCAAGGATTTATATTTTACAATCCAATGAAAGGTCAAGAGTTAAGATTCTAAAAAATTACTTTTTCGCCACGGCGGGCGGGAAGAACAAATTGTCCTCCCGCTTCACGCTCGCCTTCGGCTCAGATGGTAATTCTGCACGTGGGCACGACCCCTTTATTTTCCCTCCCTTGGTGGAAAATATACTATTTAGAATCTCTTGAAAAAACGTTTTTTCGTACAAACCCCGACAAACTGAAGATAATGCTATGCATGACGTTTCATTTGGAAAAGTTTTTCATATTCTTTGAGTGTGTCAAAGGGCAATTCAGTATCTTGAAACCCCGCCTCGAACCCCACAGAAATATTGAGCCCGATTCAGAAAAAAAAAATTTTTGGACAAAAACCAGCCATTTTCAAAAAAATCATAACCCCCTCAACTATCAATATTTTTCAATTTGTCTTTTTTCAAAATTTTTTTCTAATCGCCATCTTTTGAGAAATAAAATTGAAACAAAAATCCCCAGCATCGACTTTTATGACTTGCTGATTTGACGTGGGTCTGCTCTTACTCATATTCAGAATTTCACCAGAAATTGATTTCATGCCTAAAAAAAGGTTTTTCTCACGCAATTTAATTAACAAAGTTGATGATTGAAAATGAGTGAATCTATAGTGTGGTCTGTACCAAACTGTAAAAGTCACTTAGACATCCTTAAGACTGAATAATTGGGTTGAAGCCAGAGATGTACGGCTCTTATAGACGCTATGTGTTAAATTTGATTTTTCAAAAATCGTTTTCTAAAAAAAATGATCGGGAAGTAAGTTTGATTTTGCACCTAAGAAATCCTCTTTGTTTATTCTATAAACTCTGAAAAGGATTCCCCTCACCCGTATTGCCCGAACTACTTGGATAGCTTTAATTGCAATCAAATTGACTCATCTTTTTTACCACATCAATACCGATTTTAATTTGTTGACACGAAAAGAAAAAAGGAACAAAAATGATAAACATGTTAGTTGATGACAATTTCCTTGGTTTGTTTCTTAATTTCCATAGTTGATTCTCCGGTTTTCGATGGGAATCATTACGAGGAAAAACTGAGCGATATACCCGAGTCGAATAATTGGACCTGACAAATTCTACTTAGGTCTCTCCGTTCAGAACTGGATAGGTCTTGGGAAGCCTCTTCCCAAGTGCTTCCGAGACCTTTCTACCTCTGGTTATGTCCCATTTCAGCACTTGTTAGGTGTAAGCAGCACTTGCATTCAGACTTTCCAAATCCTTGCCGGTCCCCGTAATTCTATGGGCCTATATTAAATCTGCGTTCATATCCCTATTTACTCATGCGTTATTGAAATAAAAAATGCAATTATTGTTTTTTTTTTAATCTCGAAAATCGACATTTCACGGGAGGGTGGAGGGGA